GCAATTTTTCTTTGAATTGGAATTTCCTTTTAATTGAGAAATTGGGTTTCCTTTTGGGTAAGGAGTAGGAGAGTGCTGCAAGTTTGTTCGTTAAAAAAAAAAATCGAGAAGTTCAACGAGTTGGAGTTGAGGTACTTGGACGAGTTTTTGGAAGGGATGATGTAGACCATGAGAAGGAGATGCCTCGGTTGATGCCCGGTGACGAGTCCCTGAAGACAAGGACAAATTCGAAGGAGGGAAGAATGATGCGAACCGAGCATTCGGGCTCAATAAAGTATATGAGCAGGAGTAGTTAATTTTAATTATGTAGTTAAATATTTAGATAGGATTAGTAAGTTAGTTTATAATTTAAATATTTGAATGGTTAGTTATATGCTAGTTACAATGTGAATATTTGAATGTTTAGATTTATGCTATAAAAATGCATGTACTCATGTTTGCAAAAAAAAAAAAAAGTTTAATGAAATAAAGTTTAAGAAAAAAGCTCGCTAGTACTGTCTTTGTGGAAAATCGAACCCGATAGTGCAGGTTTTTCACTTGTTAATTTGTAAATCATGACCGTCAGTGCGAGTTTACACATTTTATCGTGTTCAAACCAAGGCCGTTAGCGCGAGTTCTTACACAAAATCGAGTCAAGATACACGATCTCCATCACAAATTTAGAACTCTTAAAGTCCGAGAGTATAAAAGTTGTGCAAACATTGTTAATAGAATCACTAATCCTATTAAAAATCAAAAAATAACTTGAGATTAAAAAAAAAAAAATGGATGCGATCATTTGTTACAAAATTATATTTCAACTCATATATCATTCAATTGGATAAATGACATATGTCTATGATGATGCCACGATTATATGCGTGGTCATTCATACTATAAAATCAAATAAGAATTGAGAACATGATTTTGGAACATGTAATTATCTCCCAAAAAATAAATAGATGAGCAAAGAAGATGGTTGCATAAGCATGTCCTTATGTTTTGAATCGTTAGAGCTCGAGGAGTAACTTCTATCTACTTTATGCATTCTTTTAGATAGACAATTTTGTTGTTGTTTTTGTATTGAATGGATTTTAATATAATTATTAATATGATATATCATACAAGAATGAATTTTGTTATATAGACAATCGAAGATTATATTGAATGAATTCTGGATCAAAACTCTAATTTTATAATAGAAAATGGACCAAATGTAAAAGAACACGATTTCACTAAATCTCAAATGAGTGTCATACAAAAGACGAAAATACTAATATTTTACACTTTTATTATAAAAAAATAAATAAAAGTAAATAAAAAACTAAGTGAGCATCCTAATGACATTTACCGATTTTAGCCAGTCATAGGACCAAAATTCTATTATTCTCCAGATAAAGGATTAAAATCAAAAAGTGAATACTTTGTGGAACCAAATCCACATTGAGAGTCAGATAAAGGACCAAAAAAATTCTTTTTGTGGTATTATATGCGAGTGATAATTAAGTATATATATGTATATTTAAATTTAGTAATATATATATATATATATATGTATATAGGGTCACACTCCGGTGAGAAAGAGTCTCAACGAAAGAAATAAGAATACATTACGACCATTGGATTGAAATAATCTAACGGGAGAAACCAACCCACTCACGCACAACTAGAAGGGGTAATTGGGTAATTGACATTACACAATTAACACGCCTCCTTCCCCCAGCTATCGCATAAATTCACGAAAAAACTCAGACAAATGAGAAAAAAAATAATCCCGAAGCTCAGGACCAATCGACATTATGGATCTGCCAATTGATTGAGGCAACGACAATATTCATGGATGCCTGTGAATCAAAGTGAATTAATACCACATCCGAAGCAAAATCAGCGTTGGAATCAAGGTTCGAGCTCGTAAGCAATTCAAATCGAGCGGCGTCTGAATAGATTAATTTTTCCCTTTTTTTTCGTTTTTTATTTTTTTCGTGTTATTTCTGTTATCTCCATAGCTGTTTTGATCTATCGATTATACGGTATAAATGAGTGGATTATTGATGCTATGTTTGATTCAGGATTTTTACAAAATTGCGCTCATGGAAGAATCCATAAACACTGACGAAGCACAAGGTACTATGGATTAATTATAGCTGTCTTGTTTATATTTTAGTCTTAATTAGAGTTTGAGTGTTTACAACGTGTGATTTAAGCATTATTGAGAGACGGATGCATATATGTGAATATTGTATATAATGCATGTAAAAAATAGTGTTGTGCATGTTTATGCAAATAGTTGTGCATGAGCTCTCACGTAATTGTGCATATACAATTAATAATAAAGCTTTGTTGCTGATTTGTTCATTTACTTTTTGTCTGTTGTTTTAACACGATTTGTTGCAGCTACACTTCAAAAATCAACGCCTCTGCAACACCGTCTAGTCGTCACCCCGGGTGGCACTAAATATTGGATACCACAGTGCGATGATGCAATCGTGCCTCGTAAAGGACAGAAATTTGATGGGCTCAACGAAGCTGTCACTTTCTATCGTGCCTATGCGTCTACAGTCGGGTTTGACGTTAGGCAAAGCACATTGTTGAAAGCAAAAGATAAGACTGTGGTTTGGAAATACTTGGTGTGTTCGCGACAGGGCTACAAAAATCAGTCCAACACGGTCCAAACAATGCATCCAAGGAGACGCAGGGTGTCTAATCGAGTGGGATGTAATGCCCGGATTGTGCTGCGAGTTGATGGGCCTGGTAGCTACGTTGTTCATTTGTTCGAAGAAAGGCATACTCATCCAATGATACCTGACGAATGCAAGTCCCGATTAAAAGTAAATCGAACAATGACAGCCGCACATCAGAGCTTTGTACTAAACTGCATAAAAGCAAACATAGGGCCTATCAAGTCATACAAGATGTACAAAGAAATTGTTGGGGGCTATTCTAATATTGGTGCCACCGGTGTGTAGTTCAGAAACTTCAAGCGAGATCTCATGGGATACATTTTAGGCGCTGACGCACAATTGGTTATAGAGAAGTTTTATAAGCAACAGGAGATTAGCTCGGCATTTTTTTTTCGTTACGAACTTGATGAAAATGATTGTTTACATAGACTTTTCTGGGCTGATCCGGTATCAAGAAGGAACTATGGGTCTTTCGGAGACGTTGTATCCTTTGATGCAACATATCGCACAAACAGGTAAACAGGAAAAACACCTCAATTAAAATTATTGTTCCAGTACTGCACAATAGTGACAGATTTACAGCACCTTATAGTATATATTCTTGCACAATATATGGCACCAAAATAATACAACACGCTATCGTTTTTTATTCATGTAGGTACAATATGGTGTTTACACCATTCACCGGCATAGACAATCACGGCAAGTGCATAACATTTGCATCGGCGTTGATATCAAGAGAAGATGTGAATTCTTACGTATGGGTGTTGGAAAGCTTCAAAAATGCAATGGTTCAAGAACCAACATACTTAGTCACTGACCAAGATCCCTCAATTGGAATTGCTTTCTCTAAGGTATTCACACGTAGCAAGCACCGATTTTGCATGTGGCATATCATGAATAAATTGTGTGACAAAGTCGGGTATTCTCTAATTAATGACGGCAACTTCAAACGGAGGCTTAATGAGATTGTCTGGAGCCGAAACATTGAACCTGGTGAGTTTGAGTCTAGATGGGCTGCAATTATGCATGAGTTTAATTTGGACACTCATAATTGGTTCATTGATTTGTTTGCTAAGAGAGAATATTGGATACCGGCATATTTTAGAGATACCATGATGAGTGGGCTAATGAGAACTACGTCTAGATCGGAGAGTGAGAACAATTGGTTTAGGAATTTTACAAATACGCATGCTAGTTTGGTTGAGTTTATGCTTCACTATGATAGTGCGATGGATGCACAGAGAAACGTCTCGATGAAGTTGCAAAGTGACAGTGAAACTCACATAGCTGTCCTAAAAACGCCGTTATCGATTGAGAAATGTGCACAGACTGTGTACACCACCGAAATATTCTATCGTGTGCAAAATGAAATATGTGATGCTTGCTTCAAATGCCAAATAATGCAGATTTCAGAAAATGAAGGTGTTATGTCATTTGTGATAAATGACATTGATGGGAAAATGTTTACGGTTATGCACAACGTGGGCCTAAACTCGTCAGCATGCTCGTGTAAACATTTTGAAATGTACGGGTGGCTATGTAGGCATGTCTTTGTTGTGTTGAAAAACTTGAACATAGATGATATACCGCCTGCTCACATCTTATCGAGGTGGACGAAACTTGCTATACGCAATCCCATGTTCAGGGTTCTTGATAATTTTACAGAACAATGTGCACAAAATGATGATATGAAGTTCATGGTGAACAAGCTTTGGTCAGACATTCATGTGTGCATGGGATTAGCTGAGTCAGATATGGACCATCTTGTCGAGTTTTCTAAACTCATTGAGGAGCACAAACGCAAACTATTGATCGATCAGGAGGGTGGTTCATCAAAAAAAGACCGGGAAAAGAGGTTTGACTTGTTTGTCGGGCTGTCTGCCCCAAAAGAAATAGAGGTTCATCCTCCGGCACAATCAAAAAATAAAGGTCGTGGAAAGAGGATGAAGAGCAACAAGGAGAATTCGATTGTGGCGTCACAGAAAAAGAGAAGACTATGCAAGACATGTGGTGAGAGAGCCGGACACAATACACGTACTTGCCCTAAAAAGGATATGTGCGTAGCAGCACCTTCCACGACTAATGAAGGTAAACACCATTTAATCAACATTTATATGACTTCTGTAGTTGCACCCGCAAATTAAATATTTATTTATATATTGTACTTATTTATTCAATGCAAACTTGTGCATTGCAGTTGAGTGATAATTGCGCGAATGTAATGGCACTCATTGGTACAGTTGGGTATGTTGGGTATGTCGTGCACATTGTTTGCATATTCACGTGTTTCAATACTACTTAAAATTCATGCGTATATACTGATTTCATGAACAAATCTGAAAATGCAGGAACGAAAAGCTATACGCGAGTCTTACTCTGCACGTGGAATCGTATCGGGAGGTTTCGACTAAATATATTATTAGAAGATTTCGACCACGTCATCTATTTTTATAGTTGAACTAGATTCATGAGTTGTATTTTTTTGCGTCCATCGTATTGTTTCATTACATGTGTAGCTACTGAGAACATTTCGTTATCTCGGGTTCAAACTATTGGTTTTGTTTTACTCGATAAAGTACTCGTGTGCTTAGTTAGTTATCTACTGTACGTATTAAAAAAAAAAAAAAAAAAAAAAAAAAAAAAAAAAAAAAGAGTACGAACTAGCAATGAAACGTTGTTATTGTACATCACATGAGCAATAATATTTCAGATATGCACAATTAACACAACGTATGTGCACATTATGGCAATACTGCCGCACATATTCCAAGCAGCCAGACCAAAAAATAAAAAATGCACGGATCCTGTAAAGAATTATCATTGAACCTTCAACCTATGGAGTCTGTATGATATTGTTATTCATATAAAATATATATTTTAACGCTACATTCACGTGTATATTCACATAAACATTGCGCGACAAAATATATACAGTTGCACTATTAATCTTGAAAAAACATACATTACACTACTCTGTATCAAAGAATTTTAGTACAAGTTTATGATGTAAATTGCTAGTTGACTAAATAACATCAACGCATTAATAACAAAAAAAAAAAGGCATAAATAACTAATTCTATGTTATAGATGGAAAAGGCACACAACATACATGATGACCGCACAATATGTTGCATTGCTATGCCCAGTTCATAAGTGATCATTGCACACAACATACATGATGAGTGCACAATATGTTGCATTGCTATGCACAAATCATAAGTGATCATTGCACAATATGTTGTATTACTACGCACAACTCACAATCGATCAATGCACAATATGTTGTGATGATATGCACAATTCATAAGTGAACAATGCACGATATAATGTGCAGCTATGCACGATTCCCACTATTCGGTTGAAAATTTTTATCTTCCGACTGACTCGAAAGACAAACATAGTAAAAACAGAAAATAAACAGTCACGATATCGCGATTACAAAAACACCAGTCGCCCGACATAGTTACGTTCTAATGAACCAAGCCAAAAAGCGTACACATTATCCAGTGCAAAAAATTGTAACGTCACAAAACAAATTTAAGCATCTACACAAATCCGCACTACCATGACCAACTGCACAACCACACCCCATCATTAATTTGCTCCTTTTTTTGCGAGATACACCGGATGGTATCTCTTTGATGCCATGAGGTTACTATCATTCAATTCATTGTTCTCAGCACACGCGATGAAATAGCTATAGCGCTTCCTAATAAGCTTGATATGTCCCTTGTCTGCCGTTTTCAGCTCTGGGTTGAATGGTTTTGCAAAGCAGCCTTTAAATGTCTCCATGTGGCGCATCGTCATCACCCCAATGTCTACCTCATCGATGTCTTTGGTCCATGGTGTGTCAATAACGTCGGGGACGGCCAGTCCGATTGCTTTGGATTTTATCGCCAAACTTCTCTCGCCTAGAAACTTCGAGACTGAACGTTGCTGCAATATAATATAATGATTAACACGAAATCGTGTTCAGACACTTACAATTATGTAATGCAAAAGCGTTTGAATTAACATTACCAACAACTTGACAAGAGGCATAACGGGCTTCGTAACAGCACCACCTTTGCACTTTCCATCGCTATATATAACAGACAGCTTTTTGGATTCGAGAGACGCACATATTACACCCGAAAATGTACCTGAATGTACCGGAAATAAAAGCTGCAACACATGATAAACAACAAATCAACTTATGCTTGTGCGTATAACGGAATAACACAACACATTCATATACCAAAACAAAGTGGACGTGAACATGTTCAATGTGAGGAATCTAATTTGATAAACAATCATTTACCACGTCTATCTGCTTCAAATTGAAAGGGCACCTCCGGTTGATTTCTGATTCCAACGTTTCAGCAAACTTATTGTAGCCTAGTCCTCTCTTCCGTTCCGACTCAAAGAACAGCTTGCCACGACACCATAAAATGCACATTATTATTATTTTCTTTTTAAATAATAATAATAATAATAATAATAATAATAATAATAATAATAATAATAAATAATATGTTCGATACACACATGCGGATACATAAAATCGTGTCAACTAACGCGTCATACCTCGTTACATGGGGATGTGGATGCAAAAAAGCACGCCGGTGAACCACGACTTTTGTAGTTCTCGTTGAAATTTAGAATGATCGACCACAAGTCTAGCAATTCCTTAGTGATAGGCGTATTTGGAATCAGACTTGCCACAACAGGCCACCTCACCGAGTAACTTAACGACCTAAATATAATCACACTACTGTGCGTTCCAAGCGCCAGTGCGTAAGAAGAAAATTTAGTCGGTATAATACA